TATCTCCTCCGACCTACTGGAAAGCGGGTCCAGCGTCCCCTGTTTCAAAACTAGCTTCCAGAACCTTCCAAAAACACGCTCAAGCGCAAGAGTAGACTTTTAAGGCTAGAGCTAAAAAAAGGAGAGCTATTTGATGGGTCTTATCTCCGAATTCCAATTGAACAAACCTCCCGTCCAATCTCGGATATCCTAAGTTCCTAACTACCTGCTTATGGCCCTAAAGTCGGGCCTAGTATCCTGTCTAGACTGCTAGACTTACTTTCTCCCTATCTCTTGGACGCAGTGAGTGTTTGGCCTGTATAAACCTCCTGTGCTCAGCCAAGGTCCTATCACCAATTTGGAATCCGCTGATATCTCTGCCAACCGATTCCCCGCTGCCCAAGTGCTCAGGAACCAGACTTCGTTCTTCCCAGACCAATCTGCTCTGACCACCCTTCTTATCTGAGTCTTCACTATAGCCTGTGTATGAGGGAACGTCCAGTGGTCTCCCTGAAATCGGGCTGCATTCCTTGTCTGCCAGATCACATCCATTAGTACTCTTCTGCATGTTTGTGCTATGTAGTCCCATCCCCTTGGATGTGAGCTCTATGATGCTGATTTCCCTGTTAAGATCCAATTATCTGTCCAGTCAACCACTTGGGGAGTTACTTCTGCTGTGATGGCCGACAATGGCGACGCCACCACTGCCACAGTCTTTTAGACACTGGGCAATGGATCCAAAGATGATTCGTAGTTTCTTCTGCCCACTTACAGCGTGAGCAGATTACATCAATGTTCATTCCTTTGGCTGATAGCCACATCGCCGAGGCCACCACCTGCAAAGACTGCAACCACATTAGAGCCGCTGTTTTCTGATTGGTTGCTTTTTTCAGCTGGGACCATAGACAATGCAGATCTCATTCCGTCATCAGATTCGGACAGTATTCTTCCCATCTCTTACATGCCACTGCTGAGGGGGTCTTTCGTACCCTCGTTCGCTGTAGTTCCCTACCTGTCTTTGTAGAATAATGGATCAGGGGAAACAGATCCCCTTGTTGGTTTCTTAACTTCCATCCATAGGTGAAAGGTTCCATCTTGTACTGGTCAGCTGAGACTCCCCCTTTACGTATCTCATTTCCTCCTCTGGAGATCCATACTCTTACTTCGTTCAAATTTCCTATCTCAAGTTCTGTTCTTTCTTCTACCAACTTCAACGGCCTTGCGTACAACTGTACTCTTGACGTTTCTTTTCGAATGCGTGAAATCGATCTTTGCTCTTTTAGTGTGAATGCGTCATCATCTCGAATTTTGTTTCATTGGGCCTCGCTCCAGTACTCTTGGAATGTGCAAAAAGAGAGTGAATCTTCCGCTAGAACATGGAAAGATACACTACCATGTTTTTCGTCTTTTGTGCCTGTCGAAGAGTAGTGGAGCGACGCCCATTCGTATCCTTCACCTGGGCCAAGTCCCACTACTGTAGCAGCGTTGAGCTACACCTCAACGCCTGAATCCGGACGTGTTTGTGGAGACTTGCAGTTCAGCAAACTCAACACCATTTCTGCACATCTCCGCAAAAGCGTCCAGATTCAGGCCTTGAGGTAGTAGCTCAACGCTGCTACCCTAGTGGGACTTGGCCCCCGGAGAGTCTGGAATGCCAAACGGTGACGAAGGGCCCCGCATCACTACTCTCGACATGCACAAACGACAAAAACCGTGGTCCTGTATCTTTCCATGTTCTAGCGGAAGATTCACTCTCGTTTTGCACATTCCGAGAAGAGTACTGGAGCGAGGCCCGAAGCGATGCTCAATCGATAGGAACTGTTTTTTTTTTTTTTTTTTTAAATCAACGCGAGAGGAACTGTGAAGCGCTGTCAGTGATGACCTCCGTCTTACATTGAATTTTTATTTCGTTTTATAACTTTTTATTATTAACTTGCCGACCGAAAATCGCGGCGGCCGGCCGAAAATCGGTCTATGGGAAGACTTGATGAAGCCGTAGTTCTCAATGCTGTGCTGCCATTGGCGCGCTTTGATCTGCGCTGATTCAGTGATTCCCACCAGCTGTGGACTCAATCACCGATCCTGACGATTGATTGAACTGTGGTGAATCACCTCGGAGTCAAATATCGGCGACCGTCTTCTTCTTCTTCCGAACACAACGCACCCTCATCATGACTGTATACAGCCAATCTTTCCGGTTCCATACAGTCATGTCATGATGAGGGTGCGTTGTGTTCGGGGGAAGACGGTCGCTGAACTGAAGGCCATAAACACGCTTGAATCGTCAGGATCGGTGATGGAGTCCACATCTGACAGCTGGTGGGAATCAGCGCAGATCAAAGCGCGCCAATGGCAGCACAGCATTGAGAACTTGGGGTTCATGTCTCCCTTCTGGGAGACCAAATTCGTCGTGGCAGTGTCCAAGGGCATCATTACTCGTAATGCCGGTAATTGCGCCTCGCTCCAGCGGCTCCACGAGTCAGCAAAAGTGCATATTGAGAATGAATCTTCCGACAGAACATGGACAGATACACCGCCGATTTTTTTTTAATCCTTTGTACATGTGTGGAGGGCAGTGGAGCGACACCCATTCTTGCTTCTGTAACGCTACAGCCACGAATCTGCTGAGAGCGGTGAGTCGGTAGATTAACCTCTGTTCGTCCAGATACAGATGCAGATGGCTGTATCTGGACATTAGAATGGTCTCACGACCCGGATGACACGACACGTGGCTGTAGAACGTGGAAAAAGTCCTCACAGCCGAACTTTTTACAGGATAGCCCCTGAAGGTCCGTGCAATTCTGCGAATTCATCCCTTCCATGATTCCATCCTATTACAGCCAAAGCCGGGTAATGCCCCCTCCCCCTCTTTATCTTGTCTCCGTTCACACTGTAACTGTGTAATATGTCATCATTTCTAATTTATCTGGGACGCTGGGAGGCTGCCAGTGGGCAGGTGCAGCCCCCCCAGCAATACAATGGGGCAACCGGCCGTAGGCCTACTACCTTCTTCCGCGGAATACAACGTACCCGGTCCGGTTATTATAGCTGTATTTGGGGTATCTTTCTGTCCACATACAGCTATAATGACAGTACTACGTTGTATTCGGGGGAACTTCTAAGAAGGTAGGGGAGGCTGCTCGATGCTCATATCTCCCCCGCTAGTATGCTGAAGCTGGTTTAATATAAAAAAGAAAAAAAAAACATTAGGGGCACCGTTGATGATGCCCTTGCCCTTGTTGCAGCAGAGTCGGAATGATCGAGTCGCTGCTCAGTAAGCCATGGCTGTGCAGTCATCCCAGTGGTGTTTCTTTTTTTTTTTTTTTTTTTTTTTTCTT